TGTGTTAATTATTGAAACTGTCCTACCAATTTGGTTTGAAACTGTCTCACTGCTATTTGTTTCTCAATAAAATTATGGAAAAAAAATTTTTTAAAAAGAGATCACAGCAAAAAAAAAATTTTTTCTTAATCTTTGATAAGAAAAAAAAATTTATAGCCTTGATTAAAAGCTACCTTTAACACACACAAAAAAGAAAAGACATATTTTTTTATGGGCAGAACCAGGGATTGAACTCAGGCCCTTGCGCTTGCTAGGGAAGAACTTACTATACTGAGCCATTTCCCCAGCCCCATAAAATAAATAATGAAGAGGCAAGTTGGTTATGATGAGGCACTAAAATATGTAGTTTATGAAGGATTTTTCAAAATTCTCAATAGAGGGCTGGGGAGACAGCTCAGCAGATCAAGCGCCTGCCTGGTAAGCACATGGTCCTGAGCCTGATCCCTAGTATCATATGCCACGCCACCCCCAAACCAGGCAGTGGTGCATACCTGTAATCCCAGTGCTGGGGAGGCTGAGACAGAAGGATCTCAGGAGGATTATATTCAAGTTTAAGGCCAGCCTGAATTACAAAATGAAGCCTTGTCTCAAACACACACACACCTTTGCTCCAAAATTTTTGAAGGCCTCTTACTGCCTGAAGACAAAACAGACCCAAACAGCTCAAAGCCTTCACTGAGAATGGAGGCCATTACTGCTCATGCTCCTTTCTCAGGGGCCAGCTCAAATTCCACCTCCTTCCTCATTCCTCTGTCATTAGTCTAGACCAGTAACAGTAAACATTTAGAGCTTTTAATGATACAAAAGGCCTGCTGGGTCACACATGCCATAAATTCACCACCACTGGTCTAGATCAGTTTTGTGGACAGATACACAATGCATGCCACATTGAAAAGCAAAAGCAGATGAAATTTTAGTATTTCATTAAATCTAAAATGTCATTATTCCAACATGTAATCTTCAAACAAACTGAAATACTTTACTTCGGTTTTTTGTACTGTCTTCAATATCCAGTGTATACTTAAAACTTAATGGCACATCAATCCGAACCACGTTTCAAGTGCTCAGTGTTACACGAGGCTGGTGTCTACTATAATAGCACAGGTCCAGACTCCAAAATCAATGCTTTAGACTGTGGAGCACTGTGCTTGCCACTTACAAAGAGCTAGTTGGCAACATTATCATCTTGTTTTTATGTTCCTGACTCAGACTTGATTTGTTGGTTTTTGTTTGCTTGAACCCAGGCACCACTGAATTACATCTCTGGCCTTTTATTTTGAGACAGGGTCTCATTAAGTTGCCCAGGCTGGCCTGTATCTTGTGATCCTGCTCAACCTTTCAGATACTGTAACTGAGACTGCAGGCCTAAGCCACCACTGTCCCAAACTGGATGCTATGCTCAACCAGGTAATTCTCCAGACAGAAAACTAGTCAACTTCTCACCAACAAATTGGAGGTCACTAGTTGGAATTCTTTTTTTTGGTGGGGGCGTGGAGGTGGGGATCAAACTTGGGACCTTGCACTTGCCAGGCAGGCACTTATGCTGCTGAGCTATATCTTGGGTCCACTAGCTGAATTCTATTTAACATTTAGTCTAACATTTTTTTTTTTTTTTGGAACTGGGGATTGAGCTCAGGCCCTTGCACTTGCCAGGCAAGTGCTTATTCCACTGAGCTATCTCCCCGACCCCTCTAACATTCTTAAATGGCTGACCTCAATGGAGGTATTCTTTGCCTTATCTGAATGATTGCAAATTTCCTGTACCAAGTTGAGGCTCCCTACAGCTATTAATATAAACATCTTGAGAAACAAATGTTCTCACACCCAGTCTCACACCCTTACACAAAGTATCCAATAGTTTCCTGCTTACTTCTGAATAAAAATCTCAGCTCCTTGGCTGAAAATCAAGATCATTCACAAACTGATCTCAATCTACCTCTTCCTTCTTCATCAACCACTGAATGCTCAATATTTATTTTCCTTTTCCCTGCATCCAAACTTCATCCATGTGCTGCATCCAGGGACGATCTCCTGACCTATCAAATTCCTTTTGATATTCCACAACCCCATTCAAATACTCTCTCAAAAAGCTATTTTACTGTCTTCCAACAGTTACTTTTACTTAGCATACTCGATAGTTGTTGAACAATGTTGAATGTACAGACAGAGCTAAAGTCATAACCTATGTATCTGACATCCAGCACACTGTTCAAAGCAACAGAAATGTGTGCTTGGAAGAGTGAAGCCTCCCCTATCATAACTCCCTGCAGGGCAGTGACTCTGTCACCACTACTCCAACTTAAATGCTACATATCGCTTACTTGCTCTCTCAATAATGATCCTGCATGTCGATGCGTGAGGTATGCAAAATATAGAAGAAAGGAAGGAGAGTCTGGGTTAGCCTTAGAGCTCTCAGAAGGCAAGTCTCTTCTGGGTTGCTCAGGAAGAGCCGCATTTCTTAGCAGGATCAAAGGGCAATAAAATTATAGAGATTTGGCGATGAGCAAAACTGATGGCTCAGGTTGGCCTGGTCACAGACCTGCAGAAGTTAGAGCTGGTCTGACTTCCTGTTTTCTGAAAAAAAAAAACGTAAAGGAGGACGAAGTCGAAAAGCATGAGTGTAGGAGTAGCGGACGCGCTCGAGAGCGCTAGAGGAAGGCGCCTTTTCAGCTGGATGCCTACTTCACGCCCCACGCTTAGCAGCCCGCGGAGGCTGAGCCCTAGGAGGCGGGAAGACCGGGGTAGGGAGGCTGAGGGCACTGCAGCCACGAGGCGAAGGGCCACAGCCGGCGTCGGACGAGTGCCCCAGCCCCGGGCGGAGAAAGACCGCAGAAAAGGAGGGAAGGAAAGCGAGTGCGGAAGTGAACCGTATAGACCGTCACGAAGAACCCGGGAGTATTCCCCCACGAAGTCACTTCTGTTTCACTTGCGGAGAATTTCCAGGACAGCGGCAACCGGACCCCGGGGAGCACTTCCCCATGGGGCCCGGGTCGGAGTCCCGGCTCTCCCGGAGGGCCGAGGCCGCCCCTCCCCCATCCAAGGGCTCGCCCCTTCTCCCGCCCTCGCCTGCCGCGTAAGGCCTACCCCAACGCCGTCCACTGCCCTTCCCAACCCCCCGTCGGATCCAGGCTGAAGGAGAAGAAGCTCCGACGCTCGCTCAGCAGGGACCTCGACCCCCGGGCGGCAGAAACCCCTCAGCGGTGGCCGCCATTTTGAACCTGCCGACAAGCGGAAGAGGCGGGGCTGATCCGGGCGATACCAACTGGGGAGGGGGATGCAGACGAAGCCGCAGGAAGGCGATGGTGCTGGCACCGACAGGTCTCATCACCTTGGACCGCAGTTGTATTCGGAAACTATCTACAATGTTTGACTTTTCTAAGTAAGAAGAGTAAAAGTTTGAAGAAGAGGCGTGCATTTCCGCTGCCCTGCACCCCCCGTGCGGGCCGTCCACGTGGAAGATCCTGAGGTCGCCGCATCCGCCGGGGCTGGTGGAGGCTGAGCTCGCAGCTGTCCTTGGTCGTGGGGTCGTTGGCCCTCAGGCCGCAGGTGGGCCAGGGGACCCTGGGCGGTTGCGACACTCCCGATCGCGGCTTGCAGGCGGGACGGGTTGTGGGAAAGCTGTGGGCGGTGGTGTGTGCGTGCGGTATGGTGGGCTGGGGCTCCCGAGAGAAGGTGAGGGGGGAAAGGAAAGAAAAATGGGTTCGTCTTGCAGTGGACGACCCGGTTGCGTTTCCGTCTTGGAGGCTTTGGGAAGGGTACTCCGAAGCTGTCAAACTAGAAAATAGCTTTAAGGCGAGCCGATGATCGACCCCGACCAAACTGGGGAGGAGAGCAGCCTCGTCCCGCGCCTAGCCAGAGGCCGGGAAAGGCGCTGCTTCTCCGGGAGCATTTACAGTTGTCCACGTCGAGGCGATCCCCCTTCTCGTCCACTTGACTAATTATCAGACCCCTTGCGCTGACCATTCCACGAAGTATGCGCTTGTCATTTTGCTTTTTAAAAACGTAATAAATTTGTGTTTGGTTCCCTGGTTGTACATGACATTAAGACCGCAGGGGTAGATTTATGCATACATTACAGTTTTTCATAGATTGATACTTTTTTTTTTTAATTTTGTCTTATTGGAGTCGAGCACTTGCTAACCAAGCGCACTCCAGCCTCTTTGGTTGGTCTTATGTAGGTGTCTCGTGGCTAAGTTGCTGCCTTCAAACTTGATTTTTCTCGTGGCCTATCAGAGTAGCTGGGATTACAGGTGCAGGCAGCTAAATGCATCCTTTAAAACAGCAATACATACACAGTGTTGCTGTGGGAAACAAATTGGTGGGCTATACACCCTAAAATGTCTAATTGTATATTTCCAATGTGTATTCAGAGTGACTTTGAAGAATAAAATAGGCTTCAGATATGCTTTTCTTTTTAGAAGTTAATGGGAAGAGAACTGGGTTGAACAAAGTAATATTAGGGTAAGAACAAAAAGGAAATGCGGTAAATAAAAATATTTACCTCTATTCTCAAGACAGCAAAGCACAAGAAAAGAGCTTGGTCCACGAGTAAACTGCCAGGGTACTGTACTAGCCCTAATTTCACCACTTATTGCCCTTGTTGTCCCCTATATCCTTCCTCATCCAGAAAAAAACACTACAGTGCGTTGGGAAGTATTATGTTATTTAGGACCCTCTCAGTGCTATTTTTGTTTTGTTTCGTTTTGTGTTGGAGACAGGGTCTCATTATACAGTTGAGGTTGTATAATGTCCATTTACACTATCCCCCCTCCCATCTTTCCCTCCTATTTGCTTTTCTCCAGTACTGAGGATTGGTCTAAGACTTCCTTCATACTGAGCTACATCCTTAGCTCTTTAAAAAAAATTTTTTGAGACACGTTTTGAGTTACTGAATTGCCCAGACTGGGCTTAAGTTTACCATCCTGCCTTAGCCTACCAGTCTAGTTCACCTAGAATTCAGACTGGCTTAGACCCCAAGGCAGTCGTCCTGCCCCTGCCCCCTGAGTGTTGGGATTACTGGTGTGCACCACTGCACGAGGCCCCATGGTGCTGTTGTGAGAATTACATATATGAGTTGGTGATTATGAAAAGTAAAAACTGACAGTCTTGAAAGATTCAGGTCTTGCTGGAGGAGGACCAAAAGGTTTGGAGCACCTTAGTATGAAAAGATACATGACCAGGGGCTGGGCGTGTAGTTCAGTGAAAGAATCTACACAGTTCGGAAGCACAGGGTTGAGTTGCCTGCACACCTCACTGCCCTATCCCTCCAGAAAAAGAATTTAGAAAAAAAAGACTGAGTCATGACTTCTTAAGTCCAAAAGATAAAACTCAGTTTGTGTTTCAGTAATACCAGAGCTGCTCCTGGTTCTGAAGTAAAAGTAAACTTTTCTTACGGGTCCTATAAAGACACTAAAAATCTAGACAGTGTACCCATGGAGATGCCATTCCCTAAAGCGGTTGGCTTTTTTTTCCCTCCTGCTAACACTTACAGTCCTAACTGGATCATGTGTGGTCTTTCTGCCTTTGCTTATCAGATAAAGTGGTCCTAGAATCTCTGGCCATGTTCTAGGGTCCATTTACACTATCCCTCCTCCCATCTTTCCCTCCTATTTGCTTTTCTCCAGTACTGAGGATTGGTCTAAGACTTCCTTCATACTGAGCTACATCCTTAGCTCTTTAAAAAA